CTCTCTCTCTCTCTCTCTCACACACACACACACACACACACAGGTCCCTCTCTTTATCCCTTCTCTAGGAGACTGAAAAGTTTTGCTGAGGGTTTTGAAGCGTACCCTTTCTCTCCCCACAAGGTGATAAACTCCCTTGGATTCAGGTAATTGATGGGAACCAACTCTAGGATCTGTATAATCAGGCACTGTTAATTATTAAAAAATTTTTATTTACTTTGTATCAGTAGGTAGGACATGGTAGGAAAATGGGTTATAAACTGCTCTAGCTGTCCTATTTGTAGAACATATAAAAGGGAAAGAAAGGAAATTTTCAATTTTAGAGGTTTTATAGCAGTTACAACCATATTTTCCTTAGTATTTTAAAATATCTTCATACCCTTGTTTGTATGTTATAGACCAAATTACATCCCATATTGTTTTGCATTTCTACCAGTGGTTTCTGACTATATACCTGCAGGGGCACCTTTTGTTAGTAGAGGTATTATATCAAGGTCAGGAAACCCCACCAAGATCACCCAGGATACTAGAGAGTAGGAACAATCCCTACTACTTCTGAATCCTCACTGCGTTTTCCTGAAACAAAATGCCTCCCAGCAGAGACTCTATTTGTGTACTTAAATATTCTACATATTGTATGATCAGGACCATGTTTTCTTCTAATCTTTAACTTCCCCGTGCATCTAGAATAGAGCTTTATATACTTTACACATTAATGTGTTTTTGTTTCTTTTTGTTTTTAGAGAGAGGGGGGGAGAGAGAGAATGAGGAACATCAATCGCTTGCCTTCCATATGTGCCCTGTCTGGGGACAAAGCCCGCAACCTAGGTATGTGCCTTGACTGGAAATCGAACTCTTGACCTTTCGTTGTATGGGACGATGCTCCAACCAACTGAGCCACAACAGCCAGGGCTTACTGTGTTTTTTGAATTAAGTAATGAAAAAAGAACAATTTGAAGAAATAATTCTTAAAATGTAGACAGGCAGGAAGCATGAACAGGCAAAAACTTTTACAAGGTACAAATCTCATGTAGAACAAATGCTTAATCTTTCCTTGCTTGGTAAAAGAAGGATCACCAATCTCCTGAGAGCAAATATGAAAACTTCTAGAATGAGGAAACCCTATCTACAGTGGACATATTTCTGTCCAGTTTGCCTGTAGGGCACCTCCCCCTTTTCCTTTCTGTGATAATCTAGTTCAGTCCACGTAAAAGGATGGAGCTCACCTTGTCCTCTGCCATCAGGTGTACATACAATCTCAGGACTGGCCAGGAAGAATACTCCCTCCCCTTGGCCAGTGGCTGGGTTAGAAATAGGCAGTGACTCAAGCTGGGGGAAACCACAGTCCTCTTGGGACATTTTCCACAGCTGTTAGAAAAGACACCCTTTTTCCCTGGGGAATTTTGTAGTGGCAGGTGACGACTCTTATGGTCATCTTTATCACCATGGGGAGAAAACATGCCAGAAAATGAAGCCAACACACAGGAAAACAGAAATAAGAAATGGCATACGTGGGGTACAGAGAGAGGAAAGGCAGATTCTTGATAATAAAACCTGAGGCCCTGAATCTAGCCATGCCATAAGCCAAATTCTACCCCTGAATTTTACAGATATATGAATAAATTAATTCCCTCCTCTGCCCCCTTAAGTAAGTCTGAATTTGGTTTCTGTCACTACTTCTCTATGGAGTCCTGACGAACTCACACCCACTTTATTTGACTTTTTTTAAATTTTTTAAAAAATATATCTTTATTGATTTCAGAGAGAGGAAAGGAGAGAGAGGGAGAGAGAGAGATAGAAACATCAATGATGAGAGAGTCATTGATCAAACCCACAACCCGGGCATGTGCCCTGACCGGGAATTGAACCCCGATAGCCTGGATCCTAGGTCGATGCTCAACCGCCGAGCCATGCCTGGCCGGGCTTATTTGACTTTTTAAACACACATCCTTTGGGAATGATTGTAATTTGTAATAATGATAAAATGAGATAATGTATACGACAGTATTCTGTAAACTGTATAGCTCTATATAAAATAGAAATAATTTTGGATGTGTGGTTTTAGAGAAGAAAATTCATAAAAAAACTGGAAAATACCCCCACACGTCAGAATTTTCTTTTCTCTAGGCAACTAAGGTATTAAACTAAATGTGACTTTAAATTACCCAAGATGAGAAGATACTAAACTTTTGAAAATTATATAGGTCCTTTCCCCTTAGTGACTGGGGAGGAAAACATCTTCCCCTAAAAGGCTTGATTTCTTAGAGAGTAAACAGAATGTTTCAGAGTAGCAGGCTTATCAGTTTCCCCCCTGGATTTCTCAGTAATACTAATTTAACTTTGGAAACTGAAGAATGATGATGAAAGCATTAAAAAGGTAGAGGTCACAACAAACAAACAGTGAATCTACCCTAGAGTTCAGCTTATACATTAACACTTCACAGTGAAAACACTCTCAGCAGTTACAACTCACCTGCATGCCTGGTCCCTCCCTTCCCCTTCTAGGCATCTGCCACTGACTCACTCTCCAAATCGATGAAAGAAAAAGCATGTAGTTTATGATGCTTAGGTAAGAAGAGTTTATACTGTGGAGTTCTAATGCGGATATGAGCACTTTTGAAAAGTAAAATAGTTTGGTGAACAATCTGAAAATTCACATTTATAATTTTTTCTCAATCTAATAATAATAAACTTTTGGTGTGGGATCTTTTAGAAATGGTACTAAACAATATGCCCTTTCACAAAGTCAGAGTGCAGGGTACACTCATATTACGTCATTAGCGATGGCCTCCATTGCCACTGACAACGGCAACCTGCTGGGGGGGGGGG